GAATATGCCTAGGTATTTATTTTAAAAAATTTTGGAATTTTTGGTTTTTTTTTTTCTCATTTTTTTTCAATTTTTTTTGGTTGCTGACGTCATTATGACGTCAGCATTGCATCATCCTGCCCAGGCAGCAGCTCGGGCTGAATTTGCCTGTGGGCTTGCCTGGGCTCGTGGGACCCAGCTCTTGCCCGGGCTGGATTTCCTGCGCTGGAGGGGGAAATGGGCTGGCGGGGGGCCTTTTGCCCAGGCAGGGCTCCTACTCTGGAGGTGCTCTAAGGGGCTACAATGCATTCATCAGGGCTGGATTTCTTGCTTGGTTCATTTGATTTTTACCCACTAGTTGAAATTGACTTGGGAATTTGGATAGATTCGCCACACAAGGAGTTACATTGTTCTATCCTAGCTTATAATGTTAGATGTACATGTACACCCGATGTTTTGTGTTTGAATCTCTTTCTCAATATCGCTCGTATAAAAATAGAAATAAAAATATGCTAGACAATTAGAACCGTTCCCCAAATAGTAAAGTTCTTTCAAAAATAATCCTCCTGTAATTCATCCACGAAATAATCCTCCTATAATTCATCCAGAAAATAATGTAAATTTGAGGAGAAATCACTTAAAACCCAAGTGCAACTATTCCTAGTTTCCCCAAATTTGGAACATCCCCAAGCTTCTCTCCAAATCACTTATATCACTCACTTGGACTCATGGAAAACAGCCAAATGAATTTTGTGGGACATAAATTTCGACATGCATATATCATTTCCATTACTGCATTTGGCTGGGGCCTCATTGCAATCTTATCCATGGATCACTTGGATATGATCAGAAGAAGGAACAATTAAGCACATCATCAATAGTAGGAGGGTTGGCTTTGGTTCATGTCCAATTAGGAATTTGGCATAGAGTTGCCCCATGTGTTATGTACTGAATATTCCTCATCTAAAACTGTTTGTAATTGGTTAGTAATTATACACTTGTGGCTCTCCCATGTTTAATGTGGAATCAATCTCGAATTTAGGAGTGATACTTTTAGTCGCTTAAGCTACAAGTCCTCTTGTCTTTGTTGCGTACGTTTTTTTTTTTGTTCCGTATATGTATTGGATATTTATGATTTAGATAACATGGTACATGATGACTATGCCACAACAGCCCCACAAGCTAGCTATGGAAACCAAATCTGGATTCAAATTTCAAGCACGTACTTGTAAGCTATAGTGGAATTAGCACTGCTGCTTACTTTTCTTACATTTGTTTGTCTACTTTTGCTTAGAAATTTAATTTGGTTGCGCCAATTGTAAGCTAAGAAATCTCCCCTGGATAAAAATTAGAGGGTAAAATTTAAAAAAGAAAAAACATATAAAATTCTTCCAAATTTCCAAGATGGAGGAGCTCTCTAGGCCGGCCATGCAACACTGCAGCTTCCATGTATACTGCTACTTTTCTCAGTGCTTAAATATATTCAAATTTCATATATAGACAAAGGAAGAGTTACAATACAAGAATTATTATGCTAAATGAAATTCATACTCATACTACAACAGTAAAAACTATAAAATTTGAAAAGAAAAAAAAAAAAAAAAGGGGAAGGATTTGAGGTACCCTTCATATATATATGGGAACTAGCTTAGCTGAAATTTAATTTTAACTATAAATGTAAGCCTGGCTAGCTATGGATACGAAGGAGCGCAGACGATGCAAGCAAGCAAGAGAATGGCAGTGGAAGCTCCATCTTCTTCAACATTGGAGGTGCTCCTCTTGAATTTGCAGACTTTGCTTTTGTTGCACTGTATTTGCTTCTGCTGCTGCTGGTGATGGTATTGCTGCTTCTGTTCTTGTTGTTGCTGCCTTCTCTTCATTGCTTCTTCCACTTTAGAAACCATCTTGGTCTTGGTTTACTTCAAAATTCAAAATAAAGCAGTTCAATTCAGAAAAGGAAAAAGAAAAGAAATAATGAGTTCAAAAGACTGAGAGAGAGAAGGAGGGGACAGAGTGTTTGCTTGGGGAACAGACATACATGCTCTTCTCAATTTATAGCAAAGCACTCTCACTTCTGTAATCCCAAAAATACCCCTTGGAATATGTTTATACATACATATGTCAGTTCGCAATTTGCAAGTGAAGGAGGAATGACTTCTTACATGTAAGGAGCCGAACAGGGCCGTCTTAGTAATTGTATGACTTGGTCGTTGTAAGATTTTTAGATAGAATACGCAAGTGGAATGAGGCCATTTGTGTGTTAAATGGATGGGGTCATAATTGCCAACATGTTTCAGTGTCTGGTCTTTTTCCAAAATCACCACAACAGTTACTACAGCTGCCTCTGCATTGAAAATTTGAAATATGTATCTTTCATTCAAGTTTTGAAAGGTAAGCTTTGTGACCTGAGTTAGGAAACAAACTGATTTACTTTGTATAATTTAAAATCTAACAAACATACTCATGTTTTATCGGCCTATTTAACACTTTTCGTTTCAATAGTTCGCCCTCAAATTCGTTTTAGTCCTAATATTTGGGATCGATTGTCAAAACAGTTGACAGTATGTCTAGTTTGGAGAAAAACTTACATGTTACGGGTTGCTTGTCCTCTTTTACCCAGCGTGAGAAGAGAGACGAAAAGAATAGAGTGATGAAATCATGCCTTGTAATTTTTTTCCTAATTTGAAAAAAAAAGACATAGTCGAAAATTTTTAGATACAATACAAAGGTAAGTTCAAAGTGAGATTAAAATCAAACTAGATGGATTTTCAGGAACAAAGAAAAAGAAGAAAAAAGATCAAGTAGATAGATGAAATTGCAGTGTACTTAATGCTATTATTATACTATGTATGTATAGTATAAACAATAATACACATATATATACCAGAGTCATGTAGCAGACTGGCACTACATGAAATTGTCAAAAAAGTTGACGGTATGTCTAGTTTGGAGAAAAACTTACATGTTACGGGTTGCTTGTCCTCTTTTACTCAGCGTGAGAAGAGAAACGAAAAGAATAGAGTGATGAAATCATGCCTTGTAATTTTTTTCCTAATTTGAACAAAAAAGACATAGTCGAAAATTTTTAGATACAATACAAAGGTAAGTTCAAAGTGAGATTAAAATCAAACTAGATGGATTTTCAGGAACAAAGAAAAAGAAGAAAAAAGATCAAGTAGATAGATGAAATTGCAGTGTACTTAATGCTATTATTATACTATGTATGTATAGTATAAACAATAATACACATATATATACCAGAGTCATGTAGCAGACTGGCACTACATGATTTTAAATTGTAAACCACTTTCATCTAATACAAAAATCATTAATATTCTTTCTCTCCATCATCATTTTAGCCATCCGGCACACATAGGATTCTCTCCTACGTTGGAACAATGCTCAATCATAGATCAACTAATATAATTATCATAGCTGTACAAACTAAACTCACTTGAGAGCCTAGAGCTAGTCCCTTAATTAAGTATAAGAATATACAATTATATAGTTGTGTTTGAATCAGTCTCCCTTTAATTAAGTATAAGAATATACAATTACATAATTGTGCTTGAGTCAGTCGCCCATGCACAAATAGAAAACTTGCATCACCGGTTGAGAGTTGCCCGATAGCGATAGCGTGCCTAGGGTTTCATACATATCTATAATATGCATGTAAAGATTCTATATAATACAATTTGCCTTGTATTGAAGAACAAAAACAATAAAATGAAAGCTATAGAAATTGAAAGAATAAAATACAATGTAATAATAGGCAACTCTAAGCCCTTACAATAGGGATTTGAAGCTTTCACAAGTTAGTCTTTTTGTCGTTGAGTGACAGAGTCTTCATGTGCAAGACCATGTGACCATGTGTCCTTGTTCTCATCCTCTTCCAGGCTGAATGGCCTGCATAGGGCCCAAACGTTTCCCTCCATTACCTATAGTTATATAGGCTTTAAAATTTTCCTCCCCTCTATCATGCCCTAAATTTCTAATTAACCAGACCTCAATCCCTTAACTCCCACTAATTAAGTAATTTTCTCCTCAGGCAGTGTGATAGGTTATTGTTAGACTTTGAATAAGAACTATTGGATATGAGATCATCTTAAGGATCATGTCAAAGATGTGTTGATGCATCCGACGGATTACGAGGTTTGGAAATCTTTCAATCAAATTCATAAGTTATGTCTAAATTTATGATCTTGATTTGCAATTCGTAAATAATAGAGATGAATTTTAAACTATATTCTACAAACATCTCTCATTGAATAGTCAAATAAGATTAAATATGGTAATCCACCACACAATCATTGAATAGCTTATGATTTGATTATTCAACCAACTAATAAAACATCACATGAGCTTTGCTTTAAAAATATATTGGAACTTAGCTTTACTTATAGCATCTCCAACCAAATTGCCACACGAATCTTGGGTTACATGATTGGTCATATGCCTTTCATAACTTATAAAATATTGTCTTTGACTTTTCTTAACTGGGACTAAATTTTCATGAAAACAAATGCAGGGTTAGAATTCATTCAACATAAGGTGCCAAACCTCGCATTAAGTAGATGGAGATGTGTTTGTTGTGAATGAAATGGACAAGCAATGAAAAGAGAGGTAAGATTCATGAACCCATAATTCTTGGCAAACAAGGTTGCAGGGGGGCATGTTTTGAAGAAATGGGATGTTGGCAATTCTGAGAACAAGCCATTTGGGATGGTCAAGCCTTCAACTAAAGATAGGCAAATTTGCTTTGGTTGGTGTTTAGTCCTTTCCTTCTTTAAGGGCACCAAAAATACAAATTAGCCAATACATTACACAGAAGATGTATGTCTTTCCTACATTCCTAGGACTGTTCCCTGTAATATTAACGAAATTCAGTTGCCCTACTATTGGCTCTATGATTGACTAAACCACAGCCCCATTTTTCATTCCAATATTTTAGTGCAGTGGATAACAAATCAGAAGCTTTCAAATAAATTTATCAAATTGAATTGCTTTTTTCTCTTTAAAAAGAGTCTAAGGTGCCGTGGGAGGAGAGGAATTCTCATGCACACACTACCAAGGTGCCATGGGATTCGCCACACAGCTGAATTTTTATAAACATGACGAATGCCACAATATGGGAATATTATTGGAAAAATAATACGAGCCTCAACTAAATTGATCGGGAGGGCAGGGATTAGATGAATTTATACAAGCCCCAACCAAAAACCTAGACAACTGATCTCAAGGCCTCAAAAACCTGGACGCCCTTGAATGACTTGACATTTGCAGTCTCACATATGATGTCTACCAGTGGGTTCACAGCATTTAAGAAATCACTCTCAGTGCAATTCCCAGTATCCATACACAAACTACCACAAACAAGCTCACATGGTTTAGTGCTACAGATGCCGATCCATCTCAAGTTCTCAGCATTAACCAGTGGACTAAACTGGACTAAACTGTAACAAAAGCTGCAGCAATGGATATTTTGCTTTTGCTCCCTTTTACTTCTCAACCACGGAGTAAAGATCAGCATCCACAGCCAACATGGTGAAGTCAATAAACTTGGGATCCTTCAGGAGTCAAAACTGGCTCAATCATTCAATTCCATCATAGTTAGTTACTTACACATTAAAGGAACTCGAAAACCCTTGAAATTCTATCTCGCCTTCGTATGCCTTGACAATATCAGGAACCGCTGCTTCATACTTGCTCAAAATTCTCTGCCTGAAAAACTTATCAGTCATCTTGAGCACATAAGGAAAGTTAACATCTTCCTTTATGAACCCTTGTGACAACAAAAGTTGTAGAACTGAGCACCTAGGAATAATTCTCTTCTCCAAGCTAAGCAGTAAAAGGTCTGGATTCTTGGAAATCATCGATGGCTTCATATTCAATTTATTCATGAAGAAAGACATCAACTTGTGGATCTTCTTCACCGAATTAATCATACACATGGGTTGCTTTCTGAATGCTGAATAAATCTCATCTTTTGACAAACCTAGACTTCTATAGGTTTCCAACTTCTGCTCCCACAATGCCTTACTCATCCTTGCCATGGTACAAACAGCTAGAGCAAATAGCACTTCGTTGGGATCAAACCCCAACTCTTTAACATCACCAATAATCTCACTAACTCTAGAACCCCTCAGAAGCAACGTTCTTGGATTAATTAAGAACATTTTCACAATAAGTGACTCAGGTACACCATGGCTCCTAAAGATTGATACGTTCGGGTCAAGTACCTTTTCCAAATTAAATTCAAGCATCCGGTGGCATCCCTTTATAGCCTTTGAGGCACTCACATCACGGCCAAGAAACCGCATAAGCGCTTGAACACTTGGAATGATGTGCTTTTCAAGGCTCCTTGTTAGAACATAAGGCTCATTGGATAAAATTTTGGCAATGTGAAGCTCTGAAAGCCCCAAAGATTTCAAAAACTCGATCTTTGGCTTTATAGTCTTCTTTGCATCGTATATAAACAATTTAGGAAGCCTCATGGTCAAGTTTTTTATATCCTTTTCACTGAAACCATGACTTCTAAAGAGCTCAAACACCGTTTGAGCATCACTCTCAAGCACTCGTGGGTGTTTACTAAGCATTTTGGCAAGGCTAGCGCCTGAAAATCCCAAAGACTCAAACAACTTCATATTGGGCCCAAGTTTAGTGTCTAAATCAGCTAAAAGCAATCCTGGACGTTTCGTGATTAGGTTTTTTATATGGCTCTGAGTTAACCCGTGAGTTTTAAACAGGCTCAGAACCGAGTCAGGGTTGTGTGTGGCCTCAATCTGGAGCTTCTTGGCAAGTGAAATTGCTGATTCTGAGGACAACCCACATGATTTTTGGAGGTAAGAGACTGTAAAAGATTGTTGGTCTGTTAAATTCGAGAGCACTTTGATGGGTTTGCGAATGGAGGTTGAAAACAAGAAGTAGCCATGGCTGAACGGAAATGGTGAAGCTCTGTGCTTTTGTTTTGTGCAGACTAAACGAAGCATTGGATTGAGAAGTAAAAGCTTGAATATTGGTTTACCTGGCTTGTAAATGCAGCTCTATTTGAATGCTACCGATGTGCTTGAAGCATTGCCTTTCCCTTTCTCCTTGTGCAGTGCCGTTGGCTACCCTAATTGGGTTACAATACAATGAGCTGCACTTTGAGCTTTTCAGTGTTTTCACTGAACACGACGGATGTAACGACGTGTCATTTATGGTTGCATTGTCAACGACGCAACGACGTGATATGGCTTAGCCCATTTGAATGTATGTGGGCCTATAGCTGAAGATTTGAGAGGTTCGGGTATTGAGTTTCAAGACGGGCCTGACGCCACTATTTATATCAAGTATGGTTTTCTTGCCCCACCTCCCACTGCTCACCAAATTTCACCTAAGCCAAGCAATGTTTTTTAAAAATTAAAATTACAAAGTAGAGTGGAATTGGATTTGGACCGGATTGGAGTTGAATCCAAGTAAATTTTTACGGGTTCTACTTCTATAGATGAAATTTATAAGGCATATATATTGGATTGTTATTCAATTTAATAAGTTCAGTCCCAACATTTATAAGTTCACCAAATAACGAACAAAATGTATCAGTCTAAGTCACCAAACGCGGCCTAAAAACCTCTATTATAAAGAGATGGACCAAGAACACTAGTTAAGAAACCAAAAATGGAACTAAATGAAGTAAGTGGATGCCATTCATGAAAGAGTTGGATTGGATAGGGAAATTTTTGGCCCTATTGTATTGGATAATGAAATGGGTAAGGTATTGAACTTGTCCCAACTTTGGAACCTAGTAGGATTGGGTTTTATAGGTCACCTTCTCGAGGGTCGGACCATTTGCCCCAATCACTTGGGTATGTATGTATGGAGGAGAGGGAAGTCGTTTTCCTCCTTGTCCTCAATGTTTTTGTTTTCTTATTTTGAATTTATCATTAGCACCACTTTCTCTACTTTGGCCATTTGGTGTGGGAAATAAGCATAGTCTAAAATGTTATTGTGTCTTTATCATGATTATATAAAATGTCATACCTTCTCAACAATAACACACACTTTAAAACATGAAAAAGGCAGCTTTGTTGGTTGCAATGTTACATGTTCACGAGTTCTAATTGCTATCCATGCATACAAAAGAAAAGGGTTCAATGCCATTGCCATAACAACAAAATAAAGATGAAAATGAATGTTGGGGTGTGCACAAAATCTATGGTTGATATGTGGCGCAAATATTATAAAAGTGTCGAGAGAAGACTAGGTGATCAATGACTTTTTACGTACGTATATCATCTAATATGTGCTTATTTAGTCAATGATATTTAGTTTCTATTTTATTAAGAAAAATGTGAATTAAATCTCATAAAATTAGTCACTTTGAGTCCATTTTACATAAGTTGATCAATCACTTTCTACATGGAACAACAAAATAGACAAAGTATCAAAATATTAGTAATCACAGTCCAAGTGTGGAGAGAAGACTAAAGTGTGACATTTGTTAGATTAGAAAAACGCAATTAGATTTGTTCCATTTGGATTGATTCGATTCATTATCTTTAAAAATCAAAAGTAATATAGTAAATAAAAAAGTTAAAACAATATTAGAAAATAAAACAAACGCCTGGCCCCATCAAACCGGAGAGAAATTCTTACGCGATGTGGATAATATTTTTTGCTATCTCCATTAAAAGAAAGGTTTTTTCGTCAAACCGGGCCTATAGTCCCGAAACCCTGACGTGGCAACCAAACAACCGCCATCCCTTTTTCTTTTTTCTTTTTTTGGTTTCCGAAAGAATTACAAGTCCCTAGAGGTTCCCGAAACCGACAAAGATCAACGTTGCGTAGCGCCAAGTCATCATGACGCCCAAAATCAACGCCTCAGTTGAATTATCCGAGTCTCTCTTTCCACAGTGACCGGAACTCACGGTAAAGCCACGTAGGCGCAGCACGAAGTGTCATAGCCCGCCACCGCAGCATGCTCCATGGCTCAGTAACCGGGTATTCCGGTCTCTCATTGCCCCCGCCCTTATATATTAAAAAGGGCCCTCAGTGATCCCATCTCTGTGCTCTGCTCACTAAACACACTCACTCTCTCTCTCTCAGTCTGCCATTTATCTCTCGAAGCTTCTTATCCAATTTGCTGCTATGGGTAACGATTTTGATAATATTATCGGATTCTTTTTTATTTTCGTCCCATTTTTATTCGATTTAAATTATACGCGACCTTGAACTGATCTCAATTGTTTTTAATTTTTATTTTACAGGGAAGATCAAGATCGGAATCAACGGTATTTTCCATTTTCCCGCTTTTTTTTTTCTCTTCTCAATTTGATGCATGTGGGATATATATATATATATATATTTATATTTATGTTTTTGTATTATTTTTGAAAATTAGGATTTGGAAGGATCGGAAGGTTGGTGGCCAGAGTGGCTCTGCAGAGAAATGATATTGAACTCGTCGCCATTAACGATCCTTTCATCACCGGCGACTACATGGTATTATTTCTTTTTTTCCCCTTGTGTTAAAATTTTTCATGTTTTTTTTCTTTTGAATGATCATGATCATGAAAAGATATTTGATCAAAGTTTTTAGCCGTCAGATTAGTTAATCAAGTATGGGTTCTGCTTTTGTGTTTTTGGTGGAACAGGTTTACATGTTCAATTATGACACTGTGCACGGTCGCTGGAAGCATAACGATGTCAAACTTAAGGACGCAAACACCCTTCTCTTTGGTGACAAGCCCGTCTCTATTTTTGCTGTCAGGTATATTATGCAATCGCGGATAAATTCTATATTCCATTTTACCAGTAATGATACAAGTAGAATACAAGGATTATTTCTTAAATAACTCTGCTTTTGCATCACTTTTTTTAGGAACCCAGATGAGATCCCATGGTCTGAGAGCGGAGCTGAATATGTTGTCGAGTCAACCGGTGTTTTCACCGATAAGGAAAAGGCTGCTGCCCATTTGAAGGTTTGCAACTTATATTTGGTTTCAACTTTGCTTGCTTAATTATGTTATGTGATATCTTCATAAGCCGTCATATCATAGTTTTCGTTGTTGGGATTGCTTTATTTTGTTTGAGTTTTTAATTCTTGGTTTTCAGTCTAGCTTCGATCTATGCTTATGGGCTTTTTGAAGGATTGGAAGTAATATGTTGTTAATTTTGCAACTTTGTGGAATTTGGAATGTGGTATTTTTAACGTACAGAATGTGATGGGTAGGTTATATCAGTGTCAAAATTGTGTTTGTTACCGGGTGTTTATGGTGGGGGATAGCATGTAATTCCTCAAGTTTATCATGAGCCTTCGGTGTTTAGTCTCGATTATTGAAGTTAGGAGTTGGTGCATGCTAGAAATTGGTTTGTTTACTGATTTATGATTGCTCTCCCAGACATGGTTTCGGGGATTCTCTTATGTTATCTGCCGTTTTCTTGGGTAAATGTATTGTGGTGTCATGTGTGGTTAGTTGCCTTAGTGTATTTTCTTTGTTCTACTATCAGGGTGGAGCGAAGAAGGTTATCATCTCAGCTCCCAGCAAAGACGCTCCTATGTTTGTTGTGGGTGTCAATGAGAAGGAATACAAGCCAGATCTTAATATTGTTTCCAATGCTAGTTGCACGACCAACTGCCTTGCTCCCCTTGCAAAGGTTCATATCTATCTGATTTTATACGGTGATGTGTAAGGCATTAGTTGATGGTAGAGTTTGATGTCTTACAGTAATATTCTTGTATTATTTTGTAGGTCATTCATGATAGGTTCGGTATTGTTGAGGGTCTGATGACCACCGTTCACTCCATTACTGGTGGGTTCTTTGTTGTAGTTTGCTTTGCACTTTTTCAGTTTCTCGTCCATGTTTCAAGTGTTCATTTTGCTTTTCCGTTTTCTATGATTCAGCCACCCAAAAGACTGTCGATGGACCTTCTTCTAAGGATTGGAGAGGTGGAAGAGCTGCTTCATTCAACATCATTCCCAGCAGTACTGGAGCTGCAAAGGTAAAAAATGCATGTGATGGTTTATTTAGACCCTCCCATATATGATATTCTGGGCTTCTTTGTTTGTTGTTTCAATAGTTGATTAGTTCTTGACTGTTTGTACTCTTAGTTCTGTAACTCATTATGTATCTTGGCTTGCGAAGGCTGTTGGTAAAGTGCTGCCTGATCTGAACGGAAAATTGACGGGAATGGCTTTTCGTGTTCCTACTGTTGATGTCTCAGTGGTTGACCTTACTGTGAGGCTGGCAAAGTCAGCTACTTATGATGAAGTCAAAGCTGCCATCAAGTAAGAGTAGAGAAGAGTTTTCTTGTTAATATTTTAGATAGTTCTTTGTTTAACCAATTTATTTTGCGGTCAGGAACTTGTGGTGGATTACAAAATCTTATCAAAGCTGTGTCTTGATAATGTTATCTGCTTGATTTTTTTGTTCTCTTTCACTTTCTAATATATTTTATGGTTCACAGGGAGGAGTCTGAGGGAAATCTGAAGGGAATCTTGGGTTACACTGAAGATGACGTGGTTTCCACCGACTTTGTGGGGGACAGCAGGTACATGGGAATATGACTTATTCCTTTAAATGACTGTCCATAATTTTGGAGATGAAATGGCCATACATTTGGGACGTGGGCCTTTCTGTAAGATATCAATGAAACATGGTTTCTGATAGTGATTGATAGAAATTCTGTGTCGAATCCTTATCTCCATTGTTTTTCACACCTGTCAACTGCTGCGCCAGCCTCGTAATATAACACTAAAACGGAGGTGGTTCTTCTTTATTGTAATTGTGCAGGTCTAGTATTTTTGATGCAAAGGCCGGAATTGCTCTGAATGATAACTTCCACAAGTTGGTCTCATGGTACGACAACGAGTGGGGATACAGGTAATTAAACACAACCAAGTCTCAAATTCAATCTCACATGACATTCCTCTAGATGATCTACTCCTTCAGCCTGGTGGCATCGTGTTTTATGCTCGTAGGTTTGGTGTTCTCATTTTGTTTGCTTTGATGCTAATGCAGCTCCCGTGTCGTCGACTTGATTTCCTACATCGCATCCGTTGATCATGCTTAGGCAGCAAGACTATGACCGCTTCTGTATCCGATGCAGTGTGTTACCGGAGTTATGCATATCGGTGTAGCCTTCATGTTAGTCAGTAGTAAAGGCAGTGTGCAAAAATAAGACGAATAACACGGAATGGTGGTAGTTATGTAGGTTTCGGTGTGATCAGGGGTGGTGAGTTTCTCCCCATGTGTGTGTTTTAAAAGATGGACTTTAGATTGTTCTGTACCTGATTATGTTCTTCACTTTATATCCCATTGGCTCAGACTTTTTCATGTTTTATAACTCTCTCCCTCCCTCTCTCCCCTCCAAAATCCAAAAGTACACTCTTCCATTCTTGTTTGGTGAATTCTGGGTGTCAGTTTACCAGTCAAACCTACCCAAAAATATGTTTTCAAATGTTTGTTTCTTTTCAGTTAGCTATATGTCTCGTTTGGTGAATCGGCCTAGCTTGGACTTCTCTGTTTTAATTAAATTGAACCAGTATCATAGATGTGACTCATAATGACTAATTTGAAATTAGTTTAAAATGAGACGTAAAACACTTTGAATAAGAATTATAAGCCTAACAGTATATTAGACAATGAATGTACTTCAATTCTCGGAAAAGGCTTTTTAAAAAACTCAATGATGTGATTTTGGGAAGTTTTTAGACGCAAGTTTGATGTAGAATTATTTGAAGAAAAAAAAAACGTTTTTTCAGGAAAGTCTAGACTAGATACCTTCCCTATTCGGCCTAAAAAAAAAAGACTAGATACCTTACCAATTCGACCTTAAAAAAAAGAAAAAAGACTAGATACCTTCATTCAATTTATGCCACGTGTATATTCACTTTATGATACATATACGTGAGTGGAATACACGTGGTATAAAATGAATAAGAAAAACAAGAAGGGAAAGTATCTAGTATTCTTCTTTATGCATTTTGTTTCCTGTTTGATTTTAGCTTGCTTCTCATTAATTAAGATTTCCTTTTATTTTTATTTTTTACGTACAACTGATATTGGGATAGGGGAATTTGAACACAATACCTCGAGTACAGAGATAACTGCTTTTAACCACTTAAACTTCAAACTCCCTGCTAGAATTGTAAATTTCAAAATCTGCAAGTCAAAATAATTCAAGTGCGATTAAAAAGAGTTATTTGAGTGGATCACCCTCAATTCTTCCGTTAAAATCTGCAAATAGAGGATTCAAACCATTTTAAAAAATTGACTAATTCACACGCAAATTGGCAAGTGCAACAATCCGTCAAAATAGTAACAAAAAAAAAAGGCCGTCAAAATATTAAAATAAATATGTAAAAAAGAAAATATAAGAAGAAAAAGGCCCGTGAAGGAAATATTAAAAGACGGAAATTAATGCCCGGCCCAATCCACACGTCAGCTTAACCCAAAGTCCGTACCATAACAGTTCCGTCATTCAAATTCTGCTTAATTTTCGATCTATCCGCCAATCTTCCCCTCCACATTAACCCCCTTTAAACCTCTCTCTCTCTCTCTCACTCTCACATCACCTTCTCAGCTACCTTGTGAGCTCGTTCTCTATCTCTCTTTCTCTTTCTCCGTATCTGAAATCCATCGTTTTCTTTGACAATGCTCAAATTGCTTACCTTCAAACCCTAGACTTCACCTTCCATATATAAATCAATCTATTTTTATTATAATTTCTCTGTATTAACTTTCTTTGTTTTCTTCAATTTGTATCGCGAATGGCGACCTCGGCGTTCAAATCAACGACGAAGCGGACGCCGATCGGAGCATCCAAGGCTCCGGCTGAAGACTCGGCTTCATCTAATCGGAAGTCGTCTCACCGGCGCTCTCGGAGCTTGAGCTGCTTCTCGCGCGGGTTACCGGAACGGACGCCGAAGGCTGAAGACTTCGATGACAATCCGGCTCCCAAAGGAAGGTTTGTGAACACGGTCAGAGGCTCGGGCTTCCCGGAGATCAGCCTCGACGACCTCGCCATCGAGCTCTTCGACTCCTCCGGCGACCGAGGCCGCTCGGTTGCGCGTGGTTCCGAAGCTACACCTACTTCCAGCGTGTCGCAGAGACGAGGGAGGTCGGTTTCGAGGCACAGCTCGAGAGTGGGGGGTGGTGGTGATGTAAGGGGCAGTGCGAGTAATAATTCAGGTGGAGGAAGGGTAATTTCGGAAAGTAAGGGGAATTCGAGGCCAAGGCGATCGGTTTCTGTTGCTCGGTATCAGATGAGCGATTCCGAGGTGAGAATTGGTGTCTTTCTCTTTTTATTTTCCCTTTGCCTTTAGATTTTTAATCATTTTAATGCACATAGTTAAAAACGTTTGGATAATAGATACTATTGCTTTATGTGCTTAAAAAATATGCTATTGCAAATTAGCATAAACTACTGCTCAGAGAACCTTGCAAACGACAATTTGAATGTGCAATGAAAGATCTTTTAGCCTCATTACATGGACTGTAATGGTATTCAACATTAGAGAGAATTGGGATTTATGACATTGATATAATATATTAATCCTGCACTGTTGAATTAAACGATTCATGTTAGCTATGTCAGATTAGAGAAATTCTCCAACTCATTTATTTGTTGCTTTATTTTGTATTTGAAATGGCAGAGTGATCTAGACCACAGCCAGAATCGCAGCACTGCTAATTCAAAGAACTTCAGTAGTGCAAACAACCAGACACCCTTGTCCCGCAAGTCAACAGATTCAAATTATAGACAAGGGTTGAGAAGATCTCTTAGCCAGAAAGATTTTAAGTGCCATGATGGTTACTCTGTAAGCCTTTCTTCATTTATTGTGGCCTATATTGTTTGAAATTTTGTCTATTATTCTTTGAATTTGGTATCACTGAGTTGAAGTCTGGTATAAAAGAAGCTCCTGGACAGACCATTTCAGATGGTTGGGGTTGAACTTCTTGAACTTTGATATTTTCTTATTCTGTCATTTTCTGTTTTTCCGTCAGAATAGTTTTCAGAAGTGAACTATGTTTTGAGATGATTTGTTTGGGCCTTTCAGAGCCACTCTTCGGTCGTAACTGATGATGAGGGGAGGGATGCTTATTCCAACAAAAATGGGGTTGAGAAGACTATCCGAGCTGTGTATTCAGAGAAGAAGGTTCACTTTTTAAAACTTTATGTTATGAGAACCACCTCAGTTTAGTTCTTTTATCTTAGTCGTTTCTTTTTTATTTTCTTGTCACCCTTTAGGCAGTTTTATTTTTTGATGTATTGACAGTCAGAAAAACGAAAACAAGATTTATTAGCTGAAATAGTACTGGAGGAACAACATAGTAGGGAGCTCTCTAAGATTGTCAAAGAATTGCTTCCTGAGCCAAAGAACATTGTTGGTGCAGACAAACCATTACGAACCAGAAGGGTACCATTCTGTCTGATATACTCTGCAGGATTTGCATGTTACTTTGTTTGTCTTAGAATTTTCATTTTTTTCCCCTAGGGATTGGTAAGAAGATTCTGTGACTTTGTAAATAACTTCCGCATTTCACTTTTGCAGAGGAGTAATGACAGAGGTAGGGTGTCTAAGAGACTGACTGAGGAGGCAGAAAGATATATTGAGGACTTCATTTCAAATGTTGAAGACACAGATATATCGTCGATTGATGGAGAAAGGAGTGATACAAGTTCGAGTATAGGTGGAATAACAAAGACTGAAACTTTTCAGAATCCAGCTATGTCTACTCCTCTTCCTGTTGCAATGGATGGGGTTGTGCTGCCTTGGTTGCAGTGGGAGACCAGTAATGATGCTACTCCTGTCGGATGCAAGAATAAGACTGAGCCACTAGGGATCCCAAGAATTCTACCATGGGAGAATACTGCTCAGGTATGTTCATAGCTCATCTTTGGATTACAAAATCTAGCCCCTTTTGACTAATATTGATGACCTTACTATCATTATCTTCATTCATGATTATCTCTTCTCGTAATCTTGTCTCAATTTTCTTTAAAATTTGTTTCACAGGGAGTGATCAGTGTGCAAGATCAAAGTAATCAATCTGCTAGCAGCCGCGGAAGTTGGAGCCCTGGAATAATTGATGCCCTGTCAATTAACATCATGGAAGATGCAGGAAGTAAAACTGGAGGATCTGGTAGTTATGAGTGCCAATCACGCCTCAGTGGATCAACCGGTTCGCGCTTTGACATGGAAGAGTATCTCCAGCTTAAGAAGAATGATGATTTGCTCTTAGAAAGGTTGAAGCAACAACAGAGAATTAGTTCTGGTGGTCTCCTGCTATGTAATCGAATGCTTTTTTAGCATAATTTGTTTCTCTCAGGATGCTTTCACTCCGTTGTAAACCACAGTAATATCTTTGTATAGAATTTTCATTTTGCTTTACTCAGTTGTTCAGTTAGCAATTGATTTCTAACCAATACAACGTTTGATTGCATCAGATAAACTACATAAAAGTGTTTTCAGTTTTGGATATAAAATTCCCGAAATTTCGCAATAGATTCAGAGTTTTTGTTACAAATGTTAGGAACAATCGCCCACGTGATCAGTGTACGTAGGTTTTACGTACATTTAAGTGCGTGGGCAGCTGTTGAAAGTGAACCTCTCCGGTGGTCGGCAACTCGCATTCTTGAATTCTTGAGAGAGGCACGTAAAGTGCACCAACAGTGGTTGACACCTCAGATTGTTTAATGCATATGACTAGAAAGAGATTTAAACTTGCAACAAACACTTGGGTTAGGTCGTGCATCTCATCTTCTAAAACAGTTTAGTTTCCGTCTTTGTTTCCTTTGAGGAAAGATCTTTACCTAATAATTAATTATAATGCGGTCCTACATATTTCAAATCAAAATTCTCGATGGAAAAGGATTAATTACAAAATTTAAATATTTTGGAACAAGAATTTCAGTCGCACAATGACTCCATCAGAAGAACTTTCAGTAAAAATCAATCAAGATTAACCGAATTTGATGGTGTGTTTCTTACAGTAAAAATCAGAAGGTTAAAATCAGACGTTTCAAAAATATATGAGCAATCAATCAGACGGCTGAAATTTGTTCAATCAATATGAAAGTCCAAATTAAGAAAGGAAACAAACTCAAGAGTCTCATAATCCAATTACGTATCTATCTCAATACGCAAAAAGGAGTTTATCTTGTGTTATAACTTATATATAGCTGCCATTGTGAACTGAACTTGTGATATTTGAACCTGAAAAAGATGGAACAAAGTCAAGAAACAAAAGATATCAATGACTGGCTTCCCATCACAAAATCAAGGAACGCAAACTGGTGGTACTCTGCTTTCCACAATGTCACTGCCATGGTTGGTGCTGGTGTGCTTGGCCTCCCCTATGCCATGTCTCAACTTGGATGGTAAGTAACCCACACAAGCTTTCGTTATATTGTTTTCGTGTTCAATACGACGTTGTTTTGGGGTTTTTATTTTTATACAAATTATATTACCACTTGACCTACAAGCTCCTTTGATAAGCATTACGGGTTTACAAAGGGTAATATTAGTACCAAAAAGAAAATATTGAAGGAAGATACTTTTCCCAGCTAATGAATTATGTGTTTGTTGTCATATTCATGTATATAGAATTTCAGCATGATAAAATTGTACATACTTTTACAGCAATTTACTGAATTGGGTTTGGTGTATTATGGGTTTAAGCCACATACTTTCACTAATATGCTCAAGATGACAATATTACGAGAGGTTAAATAAACCACTTGACCTACAAGCTGCTTTGATAAGCGTTATGGGTCTATAAAACATATTATTAGTACCAAAAAGAAAACATTGAAGGAAGATACTTCTCCCAGCTAATGAATTATGTGTTTGTTGCCATATTGATATGTAAAATTTCAGAATGATAGAATCATATATATACTTTTATAGCATTTTACTGAATTGGGTTTGGTGTATTAGGGGCCCTGGAGTTGCTGTGCTGGTTCTTTCATGGATTATTACTCTGTACACCTTATGGCAGATGGTAGAGATGCATGAAATTGTGCCTGGGAAGAGGTTTGATAGGTATCATGAATTGGGGCAGCATGCCTTTGGGGAAAAGCTTGGGCTTTGGGTTGTGGTGCCCCAACAATTAATGGTTGAATGTGGAGTGTGCATAGTTTATATGATTACAGGTGGCAATTCCATCAAGAAGATTCATGATACTCTGTGCCCTAATTGCAAATCTATCAAAACCACCTACTTCATCATGATCTTTGCCTCTGTCCACTTTGTTCTCTCTCACCTCCCTAGCTTCAATTCCATAGCTGGTGTTTCCCTTGCTGCTGCTGTTATGTCCTTGAGGTACATATTTTTTTTTTTAAAGATATAGGCAACTGCTTTTGCTTGATGAATCTTTAAGTGAACATTAATTTCAATAAGGGTGCTTTTGCAAGAGCTTCTGTTAAAAGTGAGTTTAGTTCATCAAACACTTTTATTAGGAGTGCTTTGTTGGAAACACATAAAGAAAATCATTAAAAATCCAGAAAAACCTCTTAAATAGGCCCTAAGATTCATCAAGAGAGCTTGTTCCAAGTGTTCTAGTGTTAAATTATAAAGTTCAAATTCCGTCTCGCTACAAATTAATCTGCAGAATTTGGTTTTAGTCAATGTTGTTTTTAATTGTGAACTATTCCACAGCTACTCTACCGTTGCCTGGACAGCTTCTGTGCACAAAGGGGTTGATCCACAAGTGCAGTATGGTCCCAAGGCTTCAAGCACTGCAGGAAATGTGTTCAACTTCTTTAGTGCTTTGGGAAATGTAGCTTTTGCTTTTGCTGGGCACAACGTGGTTTTGGAGATTCAAGCAACAATTCCTTCTACACCAGAAAAGCCTTCCAAAAAACCCATGTGGAAGGGTGTGTTTATTGCTTATGTTGTGGTCGCATTGTGCTATCTCCCTGTTGCTCTGATCGGTTACTGGGTGTTTGGAAACAACGTCGAAGATAACATCCTCATATCGTTGCAGAAGCCTCGTTGGCTTATAGCTCTTGCTAATTTCTTTGTTGTTATCCATGTCATCGGAAGTTATCAGGTACAATACTTATTTAAATTTATCATCTGCATAATTTTTATTTTTATTTTTAGTCGTCTTCTACTACTTCTTCTTCTTCTTCTGTTTTCTTCATTGATAACAAGTTTTGGTAATGCATTTATGTAGGTCTTTGCAATGCCAGTGTTTGACATGCTGGAATCATTTCTAGTAACAAAGATGAAATTCAAGCCATCTATGTTACTTCGCTTCCTAACACGAACATCGTTTGTTGGTAATTAGCATTTCCCCGTCTTAACTTATTTACTTAATCCCTGCGTTCTAACATTGTTAGAGATGCGATCAACAACGTGATAGTTTTATTTATTAACCATTAATACTCATATTTTGGAACAAAGTCAAGAAACAAAAGATATCAATGACTGGCTTCCCATCACAAAATCAAGGAACGCAAACTGGTGGTACTCTGCTTTCCACAATGTCACTGCCATGGTTGGTGCTGGTGTGCTTGGCCTCCCCTATGCCATGTCTCAACTTGGATGGTAAGTAACCCACGCAAGCTTTCGTCATATTGTTTTCGTGTTCAATACGACGTTGTTTCGGGGTTTTTATTTTTGTTACCACTTGACCTACAAGCTCCTTTGATAAGCCTTATGGATTTACAAAGGGTAATATTAGTACCAAAAAGAAAATATTGAAGGAAGATAATTTTCCCAGCTAATGAATTATGTGTTTGTTGTCACATTCATGTACATAGAATTTCAGCATGATAAAATTATACATACTTTTACAGCAATTTACTGAATTTGGTTTGGTGGCTTATGGGTTTAAGCCACATGCTTTCACTAATATGTTCAAGATGACGATATTAGGAGGGGATTAAATAAACCACTTGATCTACAAGCTGCTTTGATAAGCATTACGGGTCTATAAAACATATTATTAGTACCAAAAAGAAAACATTGAAGGAAGATACTTCTCCCAGCTATTGAATTATGTGTTTGTTGCCATATTGATATGTAAAATTTCAGAATGATAGAATCATATATATACTTTTATAGCATTTTACTGAATTGGGTTTGGTGTATTAGGGGCCCTGGAGTTGCTGTGCTGGTTCTTTCATGGATTATTACTCTGTACACCTTATGGCAGATGGTAGAGATGCATGAAATTGTGCCTGGGAAGAGGTTTGATAGGTATCATGAATTGGGGCAGCATGCCTTTGGGGGAAAGCTTGGGCTTTGGGTTGTGGTGCCCCAACAATTAATGGTTGAATGTGGAGTGTGCATAGTTTATATGATTACAGGTGGCAATTCCATCAAGAAGATTCATGATACTCTGTGCCCTAATTGCAAATCTATCAAAACCACCTACTTCATCATGATCTTTGCCTCTGTCCACTTTGTTCTCTCTCACCTCCCTAGCTTCAATTCCATAGCTGGTGTTTCCCTTGCTGCTGCTGTTAT